CATCTTCGTCGTTGCATACTCGATAAATATGTCACAAGACGTCAAATTGATATCGTTTATTAGAGAGAGATTCTGTGGGATTTATGTACTTGTATAAGGAGTGTCACAGTCATGAATGCTAAATTGTTGCTAGATTGCTAGAATAGAATTTTTGCTCAAAAAAGATCAATTGGGATGCAAATTGTTGCTTTCCTATACAAGTATGTAAAAGAATATGTGCTGTCAAGCATGTTTCTGACGAACTATTCGAGGTATTTTTGGATTATGAGAAGTTTTTGAGAAATGCATTGTTTACACGCTACTGTTAAGTTCACTGATGAATGTATAAGTCGCAAGCAACTTATTCGTGACCACAAACTCAAATGAACGATAGTGATAATGGTCTGTAATACCCTCGACCTTATCCGAGATCCCATATTGCAATAAACAAATGAAGATAAATACAAAAAAGGCTTAAACACAGTCGTAGACGTCTAAATCCTAAAGTTTGGTATTGCTAAACGTGTCACATCATCAATGAACTCTTAAGAAGCACAAAAATGACCGTATGACAATGAATAATTAATAATAATATGCCAATCAGTTAATATAATAGATCAAGGAAAACTATGATAAGATTATGAAGAGTCGTATGAAATGTTTGATCAACACAAATAATGATTGAGAATAAATATAAAACATAGTCTGATATTCTTTCAAAATCTGAAACACAAAACATCTTCTAAAACTTATTCAAGGTCTTTACGTCATATCATATTTCATACTTATTCTCTCAACTTTACTGAGAATGAAAAAGATAAGAATATGCAGAAAGCATTGTGTTTAGTGATCATGTTCCACAATAAAATAGCTGCTCATCAAATTGATGATACAGCCTGTAAAAAGAATATGTAGTTATCTGGTATTTAGCTTTGTTGACTCGTATCTGTATTACACTTTTGAAAGTTCTTTTACTATACAAGTACTCAGTAGTGTTTCATGCATCATTTTCTCCTTTGTATTCAAATAATTCTACTTTACCAAAAATAAATTTTCCATTATTTGAGTTCTATAGTTAGACTGTACTTTAAAAAACTTTTAAACTACTCCGTTGTCTAATATTTATTTATCTATATTTATACAAAACATTTGCGTATGCTATTTTTATTAATGTCATGTGATGTATTCGTCCTTTAAAAGAGGAGATAAGTGCAAAAAAAACAGAAGTCACAATTACTCTCAGATTTTTGTTTCCTTATCTATCAGTACTTTTTTCTTTTTCTCAGTCATATAATTTCAATATGAGTCGACATATAGTCATGTTTTTTGACTGCGTCGATCACATTTTTCTTATCAATGTCATAAGACTGATGGGTAACACAACGATAAAGCCAACCCCAAGGGTAATAGCGTATGAAATATATTGTATTCCGCAGTTAATACATCATTCAGTTTAATAATGTATACATATCAACACAACAAAGAGGTATTTATAAGATTTTTTTCTATGGAAAACGTCAGAAGAGAATCCAAGAGAAAAAAATGTAATTTTTTACCTGCAAACTAGCCTGGAAGTTGAACCAATCGACAGATTCATCTTTGAAACATGTGGATCTTACAGAACGTATTTATATTTATTTTTAACAGGATATTTCAAAAGTATTCGCTTTTCTGCGAGCTCAACTTCAAGCTAAAGAAAAAGAATTACTGGAATTACAACGAGTTGACCCATGTTTATTAGCACCTGACTCTAATCAAATTGACATGCTGGTTGATGCAATTGTTTCTCTTCAGTTGTCAACTCACGAAGGATCATTTGTTTTTGCATCGACTTTTATTTCCAATGACACACCACCTTGTACAAGCGTTTGTTCAACTGGTTTGAACTCAATCAAAACTCTTCCATCTTCAGTTTGGCTTTCACCATCGAATTCTGTGAAACAAAAAAATGAACAACATTCATTTATGCTCAGCCATCTTTTATCATTACCTATTACTGCTTATCTAGCATCATCGTTTCCATTATTTGAAACAACAGCTAAAACGCAAAATCGATCATTAAATCATGTTCCTATGGTTAATCATTTGCTCTTTATGCCTATTGATACTTTCAAAGCATCTTCTAAAATTCCTTTGCCGACTAAAATAAAAAATAATAAAAATATGTACGTATATTCAATAATTTTTTCTAATGAGTTTTGTTTCTGGGATGCTTACATAGCCAAGATTAATACATTGAAATGATATTTCGTGCTAAAATTGAATGTATCTTCTCGTATTATTCATATTTAGTATCATAATCTAACATTGTAGAATCATAAATATCCAGTATTTGATTTTGTTTTCAGACAAAACAATGAATCATCAACAATAGATAAAACGAAGAGTATTTTGAATAGCGAAGTGATTTTTTCAAAAGAATATTGGCTTCAAAACAACCAAAATGCATCGTCTGCAGCAGATGAAATATCTTGTCATACTTGATACAATGAAAACGTCTTCAACTTCGAAAAATGCTCTTCAATAATTCAATGAATCGAGTTGATAAATAAAAACTATGTCATCGTTGAACTTTTATGGATTTGCCTTCCGTCATAAATATAACTATGTTCTCTGTTAGTTAAAAAAATGATTAAAAATGTAAAGCATTATTTTTCTGTATATTATTCTTTGTTTTTATTTCGAATATTTAAACATAAAAATATTGATTGCATTAAAATATTATTTGTATTTCGTAAGAAAGTTTTCGTGCTTTTCACAAAGATCGATATATATTTAAGAAGTTTCTGAAAAAAAAAGATATCAGCAAACAGTAGTAAGAAAATTGTTTAATTCTATCGTAATCAAAATGTTTTCTTTTATTAGATAACTATTCATTCATGTTTTGAATCAAGATTATATAAACCATATTACTCCTTATGAAATTATAATTATTTTTAGAAAAATTCATGTTAAAGCTTAAAAAGAAAATCAGTAAACTCTGATTTAGTTCATCTGAACTGAATTATTAAAAATACATCGAAACAATTGTAAGCTCTAATCCTTATGCACTATGCACATACGTAAGACATTTAATCTGCTCTTGTTACAGCAGAAGCGAAGATGAATACAATTGACAAAGTTTATTAGTCGCCTACCAGTATTACAACTTTATCAAATGTTCGATTTCGAAAAACTAGATTTTTTCGCTTTATTTTATTTACAAACGAATCATAAAATCTTTATATTTTCTGATCAAAACTTCTGACATGCATATATTCCAAAACAAGTTTTCTTGATCGAATTATCAATTATTCAATTTTATGCTTTAAATTTATTATTAAATAAAATGGTTATATGATATTTCAGATTTGTTGTTTCATATGCAAGAGTTATTAAATCAATATACTCTGACAAGAGTATTAGTTCTTTTCCCTTGAGCTATCAATCTTATTTTACAATGACAACAACTAATAAAGCTCATAGCAGTTGAATTAACACTAATTATTTTTATTTCTATTGATGTGCTATAAGCCGTGATCATAGGATTTTTTCAAATGAACTCTTGTCTAACGTAAAAATTACGACTAGAGATATGTGGGACCAACTTGTAGCTCCAACTTCAGTCTTGAATTATGGGAAAGAGAACTTGCACAGACCGAGATCGAGATTAAGAGACAAAATGTGTTCTAAGCGGAACAAATGATTATAGTTAAACATTCTATGGTTTTATGTAAATTATCTTATAAGTCACATCAATGAGAACATTATTTAAGAGAGATGACACAAAAGAGTTATACTCATCGAGTACAAAAATGAAAAAAAAAAGCATTAAAAAATATTTTAAAACTTGATACGAAAAATAATGTGGTTTAATCCTTTGGTTAATAACGACGCAAATATGCATCACAGGCTTTATCATTGCGTGAAACTCATGCAATCGCTCATAATGCATGTCTTTTTTTGCTACACATTCCCATTAAAGCAAATGTCAGGCAGTAGAAGCTTTTATATCATCATTTTGCTATAGAACACGCTGGGGCCAAACCATAAACAGTTGTAACAACTTTTCTCAAAAATTGTTTTTCCTTTCTTATGTATATCGATAATCAAAAAGGTTAAGAAACTTTACACATCTTATATGATTAAAGTAACTGGTTTTGGTGTTTTCTGAATGGACGTGAATATGCTCAAACGGAAACTGCACTAAGGATGTCCAAGCGAGTTTTCAAAAATTCTTATCTGCTTGGATATTCTTTAAAACATGACTCAGAATAATTCATAGTGCATGATTGTTATTTTTCTTAATCCTATTATTTATAAATACGAGGAGCTGTATACTGGAGTTTAATGCATACTAAGAAAAAGCTCTTATGTACTGTATGATTTTCAATATGAAAAGATCAACAAGTCATGATTTTAACTTTGTTCACTTTCTTTGTAAGTTAAAAGCTCGAAAATTTACCTTTCTTTCAATCGTAAAACGATATGATACCGACGATTATAGATGAATCATAAAAGATGTTCTAAAAGTTCCGAAACAATTTTAAAACTCACTCCTCTTATATTCAATGGAAGGCAAAATTTTTTTGTAATTTTCTCAGATTATATTACCTAATACGATAGTAAAATGCTATGCATTATATATGTTTCCGACAATATTGAATTATTGCATTAAGAAAGAAAGACTATTATATTGATTGAAAAAAAAATTGTATCAGCTTCATACTATTGATATCTTTCCTACAGAAAGTCTTCTCAAGAAAAAATATCAATTACTAAAATATGAAATCAAGCGAAAGAAAAAAAAACATGATATAGCAAAACAGAATCTCAAAATAAATGGAAAGAAAGTTCATTTATTTAAAATAAATAAATGATTAACCAGAAAAAAAATGGAGAACATCATCTTTAATATCAATAGGAAAAAAATCTCTAACTCGAAGAAAGAATAAAAAAAGATTATTAATGTAATGGTTGTTCACTATCAGTACTATTTGATGGTGGTGCTTGTAAATCATTAAAATGAACAAAACGATTGATCAATTTTTGGATGTTGTTGTCGGTGGTAAACCTGTTGATGTTGAACTTGATGGATCATTATTGATATCTAATTTTTTACCAGTTAAAAATTCATATAAGATTGGACTTAATTTACCAAATTTTTGAATCTACGAAAAAAAAAAATAAGAATTTTTGTAGAATAATGATATCTTACTGAAAAGTCAGATCCGTTCCTTTTTATACATAACCATTTATTTCAATATCGATATCTTTAAGTTTTCTATTACGTCGTTTAGTAACATCAAGTATATCTTGACCAATCTTATCAAAAGGTAAATGACAGAGAAAAAGAAAGGAAGATTATTGATTTATTTCGTTTAGTCTTGATGAAAAACGTGAAAGAGGATAACGACGAAAATGTAAGCGATATAAATGAAAAGAACGAAGTAAGAATTCGTAAAGGAAAATGTCGAAATAATTCATCTATTCTTGTGATACACAATGAATACTATTTTTGTTTCGTTTACAAAAAATCAACAGAGAACAATTGACTAAAACAACATCTTAATAAAACTTCACATTGTTATCATTTTTTAATTAATTCTTTAGTAGACTTTTTCCTTTTAATTCATACAAATAAATACCAACAACCATTATTAAACTAAATATTAACATAATATCGAACCATGTTACATACAGTGAATCAATTTGAGATGTTCCACTTGAGTTATTTTTATTAAATGATAAAAGTATTTCCTATTCTTCATTTGAATATAATGAATTATTTCTCATTAGATTTCCATTAATTACATTTAATAATATCAATATTATAGCGAAGACAATCATCTAATAAAATTAAATTACGGATGATATCAATCCATCATTTAGTCAATTCATTTTATTATAAAAAGAAAAGTTAAAAATAGATTCTCTAATGAAATGATCATCAAACACGAATAGGGGTGTGACAATTCCATATCAGTTCAGAGAGCGAGAACTGGCATAACAAATCAAGCTTATCTGAAAGGAGCTGATCACTAGATCTTTACCACAGTTCATGAGTTGGTACTGGCACACCTGCTAATTCATGTAAAGTTGATAATACAGGAAAATTAAGCATGTTTGTGTAACGACAACATTAGTTGATTATCACTAATCAGTTATCATTGGAACTTCGGACAAAGTAAGTGTATGTTTGCTTTTTTTGTCGTCAAACATGCGAGAATATATGTTAAAGGAAACAAAATTAATCCAATTTTACTAGTAGAGTAGTCAACAGGTGACTTTGAGAGCTCAGCATTTCCACCAACTGAAGTCCGACGGCAAAACTCCGTCATGAGCTTCTCTATCGAATTGTGTGTGACTACTGGAGCTTTCTCGCTTCCTGGTAGAGAGGCCGACAACAATGAGTCTTCTTGCTGTCAAACTCCTGGTTACGCCACTCTATTCTAAAATTGCTGTAGGCTCTAGTGTTTGTGAGTTGACACAATATGTGTATCTATCACGATCGTGAATGATGGTATTTCATTTTTTTTTTGTTCTACGTTGTTTCCAGTGTCAGTTATTACAATTGTTCTGTTGAAAGACCTAAAGCTATTTAACAGCTTTTTTGAATATGAAACGAGCTGGAACTGGTCACCAGCTCTTTATCTCAACTCCTCACAGTTCCCTAACTTGAACTGTCTCATACTCTAAACACGAATAAAGTTTCCAAAAAAGAACAAACCATTTTTTTTTTCTTGCTTTTCACTTTAATAGAACATTCTATCTTTGAAAAAAGTTCTAAAAACGTACTTTTAGAAAAAAAAGTATTTGATCAATTAACTGTTAAATTAATGATTAGAAATGTGTATATTTCACTCTCGGTATATTAAGAAAAAACAATAAACGTTATAACGGCATCTGTTTTGGAATATTCTAGATGAAACAAGTACACCCGACAAAAGTATCTAAAAGAATATTAATGTTATCAATTACATTTTCAAAAGAGATCACAGATAAGAATTTATTGTATAAAATTAATTAAAATTTATTTTTATTCAATGCAACTTTTTTTAAATGGCGCAATTCTTCTTTTAAGCTAAATATAGTTCTCTGTTCTTTAGACATCCATATATTAAATAATTTAATAAAAAGATTTTCAATAAGTGATATATACAAATCATTATAACAAACAGATTTTATGTGTTTTTAAATACATTTATTTTCAGTTAATAGACAAATCGATTTTCATTATAGAAAAGACTGCCAATTCTCGCAATTGTAAATTAAGGTGAGTTTTTTTTTTGTAAACAGACAATTCTAATACCTGAGAAATATTCTCAAATTCGACTGGATTAGTGGAACTTTGAATAGTATTAGGTATTCACAAGATCAGGAATATGGGAGAAAAATTGAGAACATGTCGCTGGTGTAAGATACATTCTGTCTTATTCTGAATAGAAACATTTCTCAATGATCTAACGCCTATATAACATTAGGGCCATGTTTTTGTTTATCAAAATGAAAATGATGTTCAATAATAAATGAATATGATGCCTTTTTTTCTTGAAATAGGAATAATCATTTGTCTATGCATAAATGGTATAACATCATATAGTTGATGATGAGAATTTTTTCTTGATATAAAAATGTATTTTGTGATAAAGCACAACAAAAATGAAAATGAACATTTTTATTTAAATTTTGATTTTCAACAAGTGAAATAAGACCATCCCAATAATTTTTTAATTCATAAATTTTAAGATTATCATCTAATTGATTGTTATTTTGATTAGATGAATTTATTAGTTCACCATAAAATAAACAAAGTTTTATTAAAAAAATCTCGTTCAATTCTTAACGATATTTTAATATGTTGAAAGTCTATTATTGAGAACTATGTACAGTTAGAATTTAAAATTCAAATTTATTTTAATTAAAGAAGAAAATAAAACTAGCCAATATTAAAGTTCAATACCATTCCATATGTTTATTAACTGGATTAAAAAGAAAAGATAAAATATAATATATATTCTTCCAGGTAAAAGATAATCATTAGTTTAAACTAATTTATGTTGACCACGTTGACTTATGACTGGTATTGAATAAATTCTAAAATTTCCATATGATTTTTCTTCAATATTAACAATTGCAATACAAAGACTAACTTCACTTCGTTGAATTCAAAGATCTTGACTTACTTTTCTATGAAATGTTATATCAAGTTCAGTTACCTTTCGAATTATTAAATAATAAGCTTGCATCATTTCAATTTCAGGATAAAAATTTGATGAATCTCCAAGTTAATACCAATCAGGTCTTATTTTACATGTATCAACACATTCAAAATATTTGACAAATGATTCAAATAGCGTCCAAAATACTCCATCTCGTCTATTTACTTTTTCTTTGAACAGTTTTCTACGTATATCTGGATTTTCATTCCATAAAGGCGAATCATCCGACCAATCATCTAAGCAAATTGAAATAAAAATAAAAGTAAAAGTTTGAATATATCAATTCATCCATAAATTCCACCCCATAGATTTCTTAATTTAATTAATTTATGTTTTTCATCATTTGATTGTATATATAACATTTTGTAAAGAATAAGCATGAATATTAAATAAAATATTATAATTAGTACATATAGCACACAGTAAAAATCTTTGTTTATGTGCATGAAATAATTTCATCCATAAATTGTCCAAATCAACATTTTTATCGGAAACCGGAAAGATAAGCACAAGGAAAGTTGAGTACGAAAAGGAAAATTACTTGAGATATGATGATAATAGCCAGATCAAGGGAAAAACAGCTGATTTTAAGATTTCAAGACTTCAGACGACTTCACGAGACTTCGAAAGATTTCAAGAGATTTCAATAGACTTTCAAGACTTCACAGCTGAAATTCCTTCGGCTTCCCCCTCGAGGCAGACGAATGCTGAATGTAGATGTAGAGTGAATGACTGTTAATGAAGATGAGTTGGTGTAGATGCGAGTGAGTGTGGGTGTGAATGGGATGGGTATAACTATGAGCCCGCAGAGTGCATAAGAAAGCTTGATCTTCTATTCACACCCACATATACATCCATCCATCGATTCACCTTCACAACCACTCGGTAACCTCACCGGCTCTCACATGCCTACTCCCACCCAACCGTCCATTCCATCGGCACCCACGTGTCCATCTTTACCTGTACTCAGCTGTACCTCCCCCTCTACACTCAGCATTCGCCTGCCCATTATCACCATGTCTAAAGTAATTTCCCTTTTCGTGCTCAACTTTCACGAATCCAGATAAAGTACTAAATGAAATTGCAACGTAACTCCGACATATCACGTCTCACATTTAATATCCTTATCAGTCAACTTGCTCGTGAGTGAATATTTCAAGTGAATACTGAATTTTTTGTTGATTTAAAATATTCTGATGGTAGAAAAGAGTCACATCAAGTAGAATAATCTGACTCATAAAAAGAAAAGGATAAAGTATAAGTTAAAAAGAACTAGATTGTTTCACTTTATAATTGTCCTATATTGAATAGTAACAACATTAAAAATAAAAAATATCACAAGGTTCTATTCGAATTCTAACAGAGCTTACCAGCGTTAGAAATCTAACGTCCTAGCCGCTAGATTATAGATCCATTATATTTATTTTGTTAATAGATGTAATTAAAAACAAAAAGGTCACAACAATAAATATGTCTCTTTGACATCTGTATTATACAAGATAATATTGTCCAGCAAGCTTTTCTTTCAATTGTTTGATTAATATTTGTTGATATTGTGCATACTGTTGTCGAATAGTATCTTCATAAACTTGTCGATCATCATCAAGTAATGAATAAAGTATTGCTAATTGTTCATTATTGAATAAAGGTAAACATTGAAGAAATGAATTTAAATCTACATTAAGTAAAGAAATATCATCATATTGACAATTTTCCTGTGAACAAACGAGACACGGTATTGAACGAGGTATATTAACAAGAATTTGCTTTGTAGATTTTCGTTCACCATATAACCAATATGAGAAGTAATGATCGATTGTTTTTGGAACTACAGATTGTTTAATTCCCATCATAATACCGGTAGTTATATGAGAACGTACAAGACGATAATCAGCTGCTTGCATCTCTACTTATGTTAAATCAATAAGTTGTAATGTCTTTTATATATATAATGATGTCTTTAATCGATTTAATCATTTAACATTAATATGTGATGAACGTCAAAGAAACAACAGATTATTTCTCATCATACATTCAATGAAAATGAATGAAAAAAAGGAAACAAGGACAACATGCTGTTGAGAGATTCTTTGGTTATTGTTTTGTTTTGTTTTGTTTAAATCAATAAGAATATTAACTTATTGTATAACTAATTAGTGTAACAGTTGCTATAGTTTCTAAATGAAATTTTATCTTTTTTAATACGATTTAGAAAGTATATCAAATTAATATAGGAGAAAACTATCATCATGATCATTGCTAACGAATTTTTCGTTGATATTACAATGTAAAGGAGTTTTTACAGTTATTAAATTTTACTACATTGACATTTCGAAATTACTTTTTGGTTTTTATGCAGAGTTTTGATTCGATATCAAATCTCGTTTTTTATGATATATAGATATGATGAATACTTAAGAAAAAACCGCAGTAAAAGTATGTTAATATGACTAAGATTATAAGAATAAGCAAGACTAGAATAACAATGTTCTTATTCATTGCAAGAAAATATGTTTCGAAAAAAACTCGTTCCATTGGATCAAGTTATAGTTCTAAATCGGGGATATTTATTAATAGAAGTTGTAAATATCGTTGTTTTTATTCAGTACTGTGACATATGTCAATAATTTGAGAAGTTTGTAAGAAAGTTGATCTTATCACTGAGATCATCATACTGATCTCCTATATCGTCAAAATATGTGACATATTTATAATTATTACTAAACATTCACAATACCAAAACATATTTTTTGTGATTGATTGTTGTTTTTTCGAGTTTTTCTTGTATTTATCTATGTCTTGATCCTGATTCTTAGCAAAAGAACGCAAAAAATAGGCAAGACAGAAAAAGAAAAGGTCTCGAGATAGACTATTAATAGTATTGTGGTTCGTTATTTGGTAAGAGAGAACGCTACTGGTTTTTGTTTTATGCTGTTATCAGTTGGCACGAACACAACAACGACGTATGTGTCAGCATTTCCTCATTTTTCATTCTCATTTTTTTTTGCTTTCTATTCGAAAGAAGAACATCAACGTTTTATAATTTAAATTGAGTATAAAAGGAGAAAATAAAAAGTAAGTTTATCTTATGATGATCATATATTTCTTTTATAATCGTATTAGAGTATAGTTTCATATGAGTGTTAATTAATTTGTTTAAATCAATTATCAATTTTGTTCTTCTTTTTTTCTTTCGTTCTTTCATTGCGTCATCATTGTTGTAAAAAGAAAAAGACAACCACTAAGGAGACGACCTTCTTGTTATCGATATGTATATTTAACTTTGACAAGTGTCAACAAAATAATGTCCTATGACTGAGTGCACAATATATAGTTACTCCTTTTTCTGATAATTATAATTGTGGAGCAATCGAATTATCTATATATGTATTGATGATGCAACAATTACATTTATGTATAAATGTATATATGTATCAATAAAAAAAAAAGAGTGATCGTGTGATCAGTCGGAAAAACCTATAAAACATCTGTCGAATGATTTTATTAATAAGGTAAAATATTATTGTCTCGGTTAGATAAGCAATATTTATTGATTAGAATAGACTTAAATATTGATTCCAATGATATTTTTTTTGTTCCTATATTTGATTATTACTCATCTGTAAAAAAAAGCATTGTTTATCAATTTGTACAAAAAAAACTAATACATTTCTCTCATATAAGTTAGTTTTAGTTGACACATTCTTATGAATAGACGATGTTATTTGGTCCTAGAAATGTCAAGAGAAAATTATGGTACTCAAACTAGTTTTTTTTAATGATATATGCTGGTCTCTTCAAGGAACATTCATCAAACACAAACTTCTTCCTCGTCTTATTATCATCTTTCCGCATCTGTTCTGATAATCGCTTAATAAAATTAATATTATTTGTGGCTAAAAATAAGAACATATTCGACATCTGTATAAGAAATCATATTGTTATTCATACCTTGAAAATAGACTTAATAATATATATCAATATTGAAATAAAATACTCAAATACTCATTATAAAAAGGAAGATGATATTATCATTGAAATAATTGTGCTATATTTCAACATAGCGGATAGAATACTAATCTCAATGAAATCTGTTTAATCGAAGGACAAATACATGTGAGGTTTGGAAATCAGTATTTTATTTTATTTTTTTTTTGGTAATTCAATCTGTGTCACATTCATACATAGACACAACAACAAAAGAATCATAGTAATATGAAGAATGTTAAGGTATTTTTTTCAAACATTGAATCAAGTTTAGTTTGAACATTGAAAGAAGTGACAAACAAATTTGTAGTGATGCATTAATGGTCAATATAACTTAAAAGAAAAAAAGCTTTCATTTATTTTGTTTGACGAAGAAAAATGAATGTACGGATTTCCTCTCACATTAAAAAAAAATGTTACAAAAATAAACACACAAAAAAAGTGGAGCTGATCAGTGAGTAATTATTATTTTATTCTAACTCTAAAAACTAACGAACAATATAAGCAGGAAGTTTTGCTAATTTTTTTTTTTTGTTTCATAGTTGGAGACAATTTTATGCTGTACAGAAGAGAGTAATTAGCTCAAGCATAATGTATAGTTATTCTATAAGGCGTACACCGAACATATTAGTATAGACTTGTTAAATATTTCATAAGAGCTCTTCAAAAGAGTTTTACATCAAAATTGATAAGTTTATAAAAGAGTATCAGTAAGTAATATGATGATGACAAAGTAAAACTTTTCGATGCTTAATCATAAAAAGATTTACGTATGTTCTTTTAGATAAGAAAAACAAAATAGTATTATTTTCACCTTGCAAGGCATTTTCCACTGTATAACTTTCTTGTTCTTAAACATTATAAATAAAGTTTTATATTTTTTTTTTTTAGAATGAATAGAATCTTATTGTATTCGAATATATTAATTTTGTTGTCAATATTAATAATCTTTCCATTAGTTAATTCATCAACATCTTGTTCAATATTTCCTTTACTTAATTGTTCTTGTTTTCAATCAAATATTGATTTAAATCCAACATCAATAATTAAAACTTATTCACATTTATATTGTCAAGGAAATTCTTTAACTGAAAAAACTTTTCAATCTCCATTTGGTTATGATTTTAAATATCAAAATCATTTTCGTACTGTTTCAATTGAATTTTTTATTGAAAATCATATAGAAATTCAATCAAATCAATTCGATTCTTTATCTATGTTATTTTCTGAAACTGATAATAATGATCAAATTGATATATTTCTTCGATTTAATGGATTTAAACATATTACATTTCATAATCATTCATTAACTTCTAGAATATTTCAAAAAAGACCTCAAAATAAACGTTTATGGATACATCTTATTCCAATGAGAAGTAATCTAACACAGGTAATAAGTTTGCTTTTGTTTAGATTTAATATATAATTTAATATAGATTGAATTTGATGAAGAAAATTCTACTAATATTGAAGATCCATTTAAATTTTTTTCAAATTGTTTTTCTGGTTTAACAGTTTCACAATTAATTATTTATATTCATACAATACAAGATCGTTTTTCATCATTAAATTCATTTGAACAAATATTTAATAATACAAATATTGGTGAACTTCATTTTCATGGATCAATTATTCGTCCAAGTACATCTTTATTAAAAGAAAAATTTAAAGGTCTTATTCGATCTTTAACACTTCATCGTCATGTTGATACAATTGATGCAAATACGTTTCCATATTATTCTCATGTTTATTCTTATACGATTCATTCAATTGAAGCTCATTCAATGAATCTTAATTCATTTTTAACATCTTATAAAAATTTACGAGGATTAGAAATAATAAAACCACGTTTTGAAGTTTCAATTGATCAATTTATTCCAACATTAGATTCATTAACAATAGATGTTGAAGATATAAATGAAAAAACACTTTTTGCAGCTCGTCATATTTATAATTTAAAATTTGGTACACGTCTTCATACAATTGATCCTCAAATATTTGTTTTCTTATCACAACGATTACATCATTTAGATTTATCTGATGTTAATTTATCACAAATGAAATCAGATTCTCGTTGTTATCTTATTGAATATATTTCAAAAAATTATCAACAAAGTTTAAATATAATATTACCTCGAGTTAAAAATTTAACTCAATGTGATTGTACTAGACTTTTTATTAATCATATTCAATTAAATAAAAATTTAAAAAAACATTATAATTTTTCATCATGTTCAAAATTATGTTATTTTAATGATTGTCCAACAATTAGTGAATATTTTAAAAAATTTTATCCTTTATATACAGATGAAAATCAATTAAATCATATTAATAAAGGAATAATTAATAATAAAAATAATTCAAATAAATATTTATCATCAGTTGATATATTTTCGGATTCGATTGATATTCATATGATGAGTTTTCTTATGAATCAAACAAATGATCAAGAACAAAATTCAACATTAAAGTAAAAACATAAATAAGAATTTTACGAAACATTTCTTTTAATCTATTTACTTTTATTAGACTATCGACAACAACAATAACAACAACAACAACAACACTAACAGTAACAACTTTGATCGATACTGTTAAAGACAATATTTCATCACTTGAAAATATTCAAGAATATGATGATATTATATCATTTTCAACACCAAAATTTGTTGAACCATGGAATGATCAAACAGATGAAGAAAAAATCGAAATATTGCATCCTAATCAAAATCAATCTTTTTCATGGTTTTTGTTTTTTATTAGTTTTACCCTTGTTCTTCTTATTTTTATTATTTTCATTTGTTTAATTATATTTTTCTTTAGACGATATAAAAAAAAAAGTTATTTTCAACCTTTACCAGTACATGTTTAGATTAGAATTATCAGAAATTTTATAATAAAATCTGCCGTGGGCATTGAAGTTATTCTTTTTTTGTTTTTCTTTGCTCATTAAAAATATTTATATTTATTTTTGTTTCTTCATCCACAGAGAATAGACATAACAATTGATGAACTCATAACTGGACTTTTTCAAACAATTTTATAGAAATACTTAAATCTGTCAAGGGAAACATATTATTATTAACAGCAGAAAAAAATAATACGGAAAGAAAGTTCTAATTAGAATATTTTTCTGGTGTAAGAGTTGTGAATTAGATAGTGATCATCTCAGTTTTTTTTTTGTTTCTTCGTCATTTCAAATAACAATGTATTTATGTATAATTAAGAATGTAAAAATATTCGTGAAAAACAAAAAAAAGCTTCGAGTACAATTTCATAATGGAAATTACTAATAACAACATATCACATCAGTTCGATGAAGAATAATATTTGCCTAAATAAGAAAATATTTTTTTTCTTTTTTGTGACAATAAATGAATTTTTTTTTTGCTGACAGCATAAATAAATGAATAATTAATAGTTTCTCTTCTATTTCGCCTTGTCTACTTGATAATTAGCATGTTGAGATATTAATTTTTCAGGTTTCATGTTTGATAAATAGCTATATTTAGTTATTCGACATTTTTGTTTTCTAATAGACATATATATGTTAATTACTGAGCTATAGAATTACTGCATTTTTACTATATTAGAAAACGACATCCTTTTTTTTTTCTTTTTTTTACATCTTCTTTTAGAGATGCTGTCATTCTTTTTCTTCTTATTTTTGGGCTTAGTACGGACACCCATGCTAGTCTATTCATCTTGTTTTCTCGTGTATTTATTCAACTAGATTGTCTCATGCATTTATTTTCCTTTTTTCTCTACTATGTTAAAGCAAAAGAACGGATAGGACAACAATATTAGAATGAAGACAATCGAGAAAATATAAAGCTCGTCCGTGTAAAAACAACGGAAAATGAATAATGATTATATTCAAACATCTTTTTCTTCTCCCGATGAAACTATTCAGTTGGTTACTAATAATCAACCAATTACTTCGAATTTACAAAATAATAATAAGATAAAATCAAATATGTTAACACGTAAAACATTAACAGAGTATCGTTTAATGCAATGGTGTGCTGTTATCTTAGCTCTCAGTACAATAATTATAATTTGGCGTTATATAACAATTTTAATACTTTCCATTTGGTTATCAAGTATTTGTAGACCAATTCTCGAATGGCTTGTTATTCATCTGTGAGAATATAAAATTTGAATTTATTTTTTGAATAATCAAGTTTTTTTTTTCTTTAAATAGACCTTTAATAAATCGATGTCGAGAAAAACGTTCACGTTCAGCTATAGCTGCATTTCTTCTTATGTTTCTTGTTCTTGTGGTAATCTTACCAATTATTTTAATAATAATCGCTTTAACAGGTTCAACAATAAATTTCGTTGCAAGTATATCAAATTCTACAACAGTACGAAATGCAATTAATATAATTGTTCCACCAACAAATGATAATTCAACAGAATCTGGATTAAATAAAACAAATGATTTTAATTTTGTTAATTTTATTCGAGGTGGTAAAAATGCTACACTTCATTTATTTGAACGTTTATTAATGGAACGAGATACAATAAGTGATGTTCTTCAATTATTTGGTGGAAAAGCATTATCAGTTATATCAACAGTTGCTGGTGTAACAGCTCAAGTAAATATGACTATTAAATTTAAATTAATATATAGATTTTATATATATTTTTTTTTAGTTTATTATTGGTCTCTTAATATTTTTGGTATCAACTTATACATTTTTATTACATGGAAATGAAATTTGGACATGGACAATTCATCATACTCCATTATCATCAAAACATATGAATCGTTTTTATGATGCTTTTCATGAAACAGGTCGAGGATTGTTAATTGGCGTATGTTTAACATGTGCTTTACAAGGAATTGTTGCTGCTATTGCTTATTTATGTTTACAAATTCCACGATGGTATGCACTTGGTGTATTAACTGGTCTTTGTTCATTAATTCCAATTCTTGGTACAGCTATTGTTTGGATTCCAATAACAATTGGACTATTTATTCAACAAGCTTATTTAAAAGCAGTTATTATGATTACTGTTGGAATTTTAGCTATTGGATCAATTGATAATTTACTTCGACCAGTTTTTTCTAAATTAGGTTCGTTAAAAATGTCAACATTATTATTATTATTGACAATTTTCGGTGGATTGGAATTATTAGGACCATGGGGAGCTCTTCTAGGTCCATTAATTGTTCGATTAGCAACAGAAGCAATTATTTTGGTCAGAGAAGATGATGATGAGCAATTAAATACTTCAAGAATATAAATGTAAAAATTTTTCAATTGTATAGTATAGTGTTTTAAAGACACAAACAATAAATAAATAATTTCAGCTGAATTAAGAAACAAGAATAGATTTAAAATAAAGTTATGAGTGTATGAAAATTATTTTCATTAAAAATTTCTTAATTTGCATTTAGAAATTATCAAAATATATATCAGGCTTTGCAATCGAGTCATTCATTGATAGCTCGGTTCAATTCGGAATAGCATTAGTAAAAGTATATATATATAGTATTTTTTACAAAAAGGATTTCTACACGATAGAACTTCACCATTATTACAATTATTTATTAGAAAATTGTAAAAAGTTTATTATTATTATTATTATCACGAATTGTATAAGGTTGGATGATTTTAATGCTTGAAAAAAAATCAATATGAGAAATAAGTTGAATCATTTATGACATTAAAAGAACCAAATGTATTCATGCGTACTCCAACTTCTTGAAGACTAACATTTATTAATATATACTTTTATGAGTAAAATGTCTTTTGTTAAATGTCAAAGATTCAAATTGGTTACTATTTTTAGTTATACTATTAATTTGAGTATACGATAAACACTTTTCCACTTTAGTAACACTCATACCACTTAATGCAGTTGATATTGTACTCGGCTTTGTCTATGATTGAGAAATGTCATTTAACGAAATAAATACTCTACTTTTATATTTACTAGTCTAATAAAACTTTGAAAACATTCGTCTAATATAGATTCTTGATACGAAGAATAAAATTCTTGTAAGAAAGTTTGATGAAATACTAGAATACAATCAATTAAAATGAATTTATTTAAATTTAAATTTTCAGTTTTGAAAGTAAACTTCAAATGATTTCAATCATTTTTGATTGTGAAATAATATTTTACCAATTAAAACTAGTTTTTATAATCAAGTGAAATCTATTATCGATATTGAAAAATCAGATTTTCATCATATTCAATTCGTAACCATTTTAATCAATTGTTAATTAGAAAAAAAATCGATTAAAATCAGATTTATTCTATTTTCTTCAAGCAAAGAAAAAACGTTCCGCCCCGGAGTCTATTTCAAACCCTGAGATATAACTCATATAATCAAACATTTTCTTAGTATTTCAAATATAATTTTCTTTTTAATTTTAATGTTTAAAAAACTTTTCGCTGTACATATTACATAACGTATGAGAAATCCTTACTTATCATCAAACTTCTGACAATTGTTAAAGCATTTTGTATTTATATTTTTGTTTTTCAGAATACAAAAAAAACCGTACCGATCAACTAGTTGTTTTTGTCTATTTTCAAATATTAACTTATTTAAAAACGTTCAGTATCATGTATTATTATTTAATTAATCTCATCTCAATAACAGTTATTGTATTGAAATTTTGCATAGTAGAATGCTTTTCATAACTTCTTAATTCAACTAGTCATCATTTTATTATCGAGTGAATGAGACTGAAATTATGTTCAAGTTGTCGAAATTCAATATATCCATATCGACAAAGACATAGATCGATACAAGTTGTCTTTTAATGAGCAACAAGAGATAAAAGAATTGTTTAAAAGAGTTCAAACTAATCGAGTTATGAGAGATAGAATGAAGTCACTTGATTACATTTAAAATGAGTTCCATATCCACAATAAGAACTCGAGTGCAGAAGTTGTATCAAATTAAGAACCGATCAACCCTTACGCTGATCGATTCTTAATTTGATACAACTCCTACATTAGCGTTCTTATTGCGTATATGATACTTATATTGAATGTGATCAACCGATTTTATTCTACCGTTCATAACTCGATTAGTTTTTATGCATTTCAAAAAAAGACTCTTTCGCCAATAGGTAGACAATACATATACTTTAATCAATCATTTAATTTAAGCTCATTTGTTCACTTTTTCACTTATATATTACAGAGCAAACATGGGTACAAAAAAAAGGCAATGTTCTAATTCAGAACATTCAATCTGGTAATAATTATATTTCTAGTTTTTGTATAGTTAACAGAATTCATATTATTCGATTATTTTATCATGGAAATAATCACTACCAGCAATCATTATTGAAAGAATTTCTATGTTTTTTGTGTCTGTTAGTTACACATGTGATGTGAATCGTACCATACAATTACTGCCAATACAGCATTGGTAGTTTCATAGGTCAATTGTCGGCTATCATCTGACTGTCAATCTACTAGTGGTTCTTTTGAGTAGGTTGGTATATCGACAGTGGTGTGAACAAATATGTAACATGAGTTAATTTCAATTTAAAATAATTTCGGATAGTTTGGATAAAAATTTATCATTCTGATTTTATTCAATTAATTATAGAACAAATAATAAACAAATGATGCTATTAATACTAGAAAGTCATATAGACATATTGAAAAGAAAAGACAAAAAAAAAACAGAATTTAACTTGGTAAATTTTCTTTCATAAATTTTTCTAATGATTTTAATCGTTCATCAATATCAATCATATCATTGACATTTGTTGATTCTGGTTTTATTGAATTTATATCTAAAAAAAAGAAAAAATTAACAAATTTATAAAAAGTAATTTAAAAAAAAACGAAATACTTTGTTGATCATGATCAGATGATGAATGATGATGAGATTTATGTGAAACAAAATTTGTTGCATTATTTGATGCTGCTTTACGTAAAATCGGTGGTGATGATACACCTTCAATATCCTAATTTTATGAATAAATTTATTAAATTAAAAGAAAAAAAAAGAAAACTTTAAATAACATACCGAATCAGTAGAATCTTTAGATTTACATTGATTATATTCTCTAGTTCGTTTTCGACTTGTACTTCGTCGAGAACCTGATGTACGTAAACCATCATCACTATCATTTAATTTTAAACTAGCAACTAATTAGAATAAACAATTAGGTAAATAAAACAAAAATTTTTTCAAAAAACTATTTACTTGATCCTGCTTTACTTCCACCTCGAGCAGAAAAATCTTAAAATTGAAATAAATATTTTATTTTTATTCATCAATATATAAAATAATATACCACTCATATCGGAATCAGAACCATGTCGACCAACACTTCGTCTTCGTCGAGTTTCTCTACTTCTATAAAAAAAAAAAGTTCTTTTTCTTCGTTAGTAAATATTAAAAAAGAAAATAAAAATTACTTTTGTATTTCAATTTGTCGTAATTTAAGATTTCTTTCACGAATATAAGCTGTTGGATTAAATCGACTACGTGAATCTAATGAAATTTAAAATAGATAATGAATTTTAAAATAAATAAAATTTCTAACCTGCTGGTGATGGTGATCGTTTTGTAATACTTGTTGAACGAGGACGAGTTCCACTTCCACTTCGACGAGAATCATTTGAATTAGAACGATGTTTTGAACGATTACGAGATGAAGCTGTTGGTAATAAATGATCAGAACGATGTCGACGTTGATCACCTGATGATGGACGAGATGTTGACGGTGGACGTTGTTGAAATGAACGAGGAGAATAACTAAAATAAATTTTATCAATATTCATTACTAGTCTCTATTAGATTGATTCTTCATTTTATTTTTTGTTATTAATAAACCTTCGTCTCATATCATTTATTTATCGATGATATTTTCATCGAAGAATAATTAATTTTCAATCTATGTATATCAATGAAAAATCTCTATTTATAATTAAAACTATTAGTCCTTTGGGATTAATATATGGAACAAAATAATACTGTTTAAATAATAAGTAATAAATATTTATAAACATAAATTTTGTTTTACTGAATACTGTTGCCTGTAAATATGGGTTGATAATAAAGAATATTAATCATCAAATATTATAATAAATGTGAAAGAAACTTAGAATATAGCAATCGAAAAAAATTCAACCGTCTTTCATAAGTGGCGAGGCGAATGTTCGAATCTAACACTTGATTGATTGAGATGGTTTGTGAAATTTTATCGATCCTCATATATCGTCCGTCAAATAAGACTTATAATGATCAGCAGTTCTTATTACCTATAAATTGAAAATCCAACAACACTGGGACACACAACCCTACTGATGAGATTACAAAGACTGGTACATACAGTCCTGATGTAGATGCTCCAAACACTAAATTTCATTTGATATTCTTGAATATCTAATTTCTGAACGATGAGTTTATCTACAAAAAACCTGTGTTGTAAAGATACTATTACTTTAGAATATGAGCTATAGTCTCACAAATAGTTAGAGTTAGGATACGAAGTATAACGTTACTATATCAATCGTGATCAAAATTTCGAGATATTTTAGACTAAATCACGAAGAATTCCTTGACCAATACAAGTTGATTGATGAAAAAAGAATATTAAGAAATCAACTTTCAAATTTTTCTTCTTAAATACAGAACAATTGTTTGATGATGGTCAACGAAATAACTTTATTAATTCAAAATCTCGATTTCTTACGCTTGAGTAAGAGTACTAAGACAAATCTTTCGAAATAAAATAATGCTACTATTTAAAGAATAGTTGTCAAAATATACCCATTAAGATGAATCGGTCGTTCTCTTGATGATGATCGAACAGTAGTTGGATGATGAAGACTACTATAGAAACAAAAAATAAAGACAAAATGAAATATGTTATTGTCTGATTAATTGTTTTTTTTTTGTTAATTAATTTACTTTCGTTTAAGTAAAGCAATTTCATTTGTTAAACTTCTCACTTTTGATTTTAATTGTCGTTCTGATGTTTTTAATAATTCAACCTTAAATAAAAATTTAATTTTCTCGTTTTTTTTTGATTTAATATAGAAGAAAAACAATAAAATTTACTTGATTATTCAATGTTTTATAATCATCATTTTTTGTTATCTTAGCTCGTTCTTTAACTAAAGCATCTTCACTAGTACGTATCATTTGATGTAATAATTCAATTTGTTGTTGTTGTTGTTGATCTTTTGAATTATTTGAACGATTCGATGATAATTGTTGACGATATTCATTATTTTCTTTTTTTAAACGAGTACATCTATTTAAAATATTAAAAAAAATTTAAATTATAATTTAAAGATTATTATTATTACTCTCGTTGAAGACGTATTATATCACTACGTTCAACATCTGATTCAAGCTTTTAAAAATCAATTAAATTTTTATTGAAAATTATTTTTGAAAATAATAAAAACTTTACTCGAGATTTTAATAAACGATTTTCAGTTGTTAATTGTCGAATTTGTTGCATTAAAATAACAGGATCTGGTTTTCCACAATATGGAAGTGATAATGGATAATAGATTCGATCATATTCAGCATTATATGTTAAGATTAAATAACGTTTATTAGCTAATTGAATATTTGTTGGATGATTAGGAATATTTCCACTTTGACCTTGCCGTTTTTTACGTAATGTTTCAAGATCATCATATGTAAATAAATCAATGCTTACCGATGTACTTTCCTAATTTTAATAAAAAAAAAAAGATTTTTTTTTTGTGTTTTTTTTCTAAAAATATTTATCTTTTCATACTTGATTAACTGCATTTTCGAGCATACTAACAAAAATATTAAATGATTTAAAATTACCCGTTTTAGCTGTCATTGTTTCAATAGCTAAAAAAAACAAAATATAGACGTTGAAGAATTAATTATGAAAATCTAAATAGATTTACCTGTAACATCAAAAGATCCTTTCCATTGATCTGCACTTTCTTTTGCTTCAACTTCTAAATCCATTTGTGGTTGTTTAGAATTATGAATAGACATTGATATAATATATGGTTGATTTCGTATTAAGATTTCATTCGAACATACATGTTTCAATGATGATGATTCAGATAAACCTGGATTTATAGCTGATAGATCAAGTGAATCCTTCATATCTAAAATTATTAATTACATTTCGGTTTTTTTTTAAATAGGAATCAAAACGAAATTTCATAAAATTAATAATCATTACACCAAATAAAAAATGTTATTCAGATTGTAAAGCGAGCATATATATGTATATATAGCAGATTCTCATGCAACAGCAAATTACCAAGCAGATTAATGTTGACAACACCATATAACAATCAGTCTTAAAATGCTTTCTATGAAATGATATAATTACCCTAAATTGATTGTTTTGAATTTTTGAAATAGACGATATGTTCAATATACAATGAACAAATTCGTCTTTTCTCTATGTATAAAATTAAATTGAAAAAAAACAAAAATTTATCTATTATGATATTTGAAATTTACTTTACGAATTTTTTTAATTACTATAAGAAATAACATATTTTCTTATTGTAAAATTATCTTTGAATATACAAATCTATCATTTATAAATGCCAGTTGTTGTTGTTGTTTTCTAAAGCCATTTTTTATCAAAATTAATATTAAAATCTAAAAAAAAAGAAGAATCTAATTTAATTGTTGTAAGCCAAGAAAAAACAAAAAAAAACTTCGGATCTCTCTTCTACATTTATTCGCAGTGTTAACAAAGATGTTATTTAATGTCGTTTCTGCATAAAAAGGATGAATAAACAAACAAAGGAAAAGATAAATCAATGTAAGTTGTCTATAATTAATGTGTGATGGTATACATTCGACTGCGTTGTCGATTATACTCTCGTAATTGTTCAATTGGACCTTAACAAAAATAAACAATTTTATTTAAAGAAAAATTTAAATTAATATTAAATAAACTAACCAACAGCAGCGATAGCTGGACAATGATTGTAAACATATTGTTTCATAGCTGTCATCACTGTTTTTGCATCAACAGCCTGAAATATATTTTATTTATTTCTGTCAATAATAATTAATACTTACATCAATTCGTGCACTAAGTTCATGTAAAGGAATTCGTCGACCATATGAAAGTAATTGACTAAACAAAAAAAAAACTTACAGTTGATTTAATATTATATAGAAAACAATAAATGAAACAAACCGTCCGATATCTTCACAAATTGGTGTTGATCCATCAAGTGTTGATAATAAATTTGTTTTAAATAATTTCTTAGCTCGTTCTACTTCAATATCAGTACATGCTGTTGCAATACGACACCTTCATTAACAACAAAAAAATAGATAAATAAAAGTAAATTTGTAAATAAAATACCATTCATCGAGTAATGCAGACATAGCATCATCAATACGCATTCTATCAGTAACTAAATAAGTTCCCCATAATCCCGTATCAGTATAACATGTATTAAATGATTGATATGAATGACATAAATTGTAAATAACGGATTGTTGACCAAGACGTGCAGCGACATGACCACGACCAGCCATTGATCTATATATTCAATTAATTGGTCTTAATTTTTAAAATCAAATTTAAATAAATTTATCTTTCATTAGAAAAGATTTGCAAAATCTACTCTCTATATGTCAATGCTCGTATGAAGAAATTTTCGAAGAACTATTAGCTACATGAAATACATGATTCATTTTTGCAGTGGAAAATCATTGAACTGCTTATTGAGAATCGTCAAAGGCAAAATAACTAACTAGTTAAAAAACTTTTGTTACCCTGAGAATCATTAAAAAATTTTAAGGTAAATTGTTTCTAAAATGATCAAGCACCAAAAACGAACAGTGTGATTCGTTGATTGATGAAACTGATTTTATTTTTTTTTCCTAACAAATCAATACCTGTTTAAGACCTAGAAAACTAAATACACAAATATTGAAATGAGTAATAATTACCTATCCCATTGACCAACAATAGTCGATGCAACCATCAACGGAATAGTATCAGCATGAGCCCAACCTGTACTTTCAACAGCAACAGCAATATGAGCTAATGGCATTTCATCGTCACGAACACGAATTTCACTACCCGAAAAACTAATAAAAAAAAACAATAAATAAATAAATTTAAAGATTAAAAATAAAAATCAATGAAATATTATTACCGGCATGGCAAAAGATCAGGTACTTCTCCTTCATAACCAGCTTTTAATTTTCCAAAATGTTCTTCACTTAAACGAACTAATTGATCATGATTAACACCACCAGCAGCAGTTAAAACCATTCGTGGTGCTTTATAATGTGTTCCAACATATTTAAGTAAATCAGCTTTTTTAATAGATCTCAAAGATAAAATAAAATAAAATGAAATAAATCAAAGATTTATTGAATAAATTTACTTAATATTGTCTGTAGGACCAAGAACACTTCTAGCTAATGGTGTACCTTGATAAGCAGTTGCATGTAAATGATCAAAAGTAACATCTTGAAGATTATTTTCTATTTCTTCCATTTCACATAAAATTGTATGACGTTCACGTTCAATTTCTTCTTCATTAAATTGACTATTTTGAATTATATCCGATAAAATTTCAACAACTATTCATATTCAATATCAAAATAAGATGAAAATAAAAAACAAAACAAATAAAATTACTTTGTGGTAAATCTTTACTGAAACATTTAGCATAATAAGCAGTTTGTTCTCGTGATGTATAAGCATTTAGATGTGCACCAAGATTTTCAATTTGAGCTTCAAGATCACGTTGTGTTCGTTTATTTGTACTCTGATAAAATATGTTTTGTTTTTTAGTTTTTAATATAAAAAATAAAAATTTCAAATATATTTACTTTGAATGCCATATGTTCAAGAAAATGAGCCGTACCATTATTTTGTGCTGTTTCAAATCGACTTCCAGCATCAATCCAAACACCAACAGTACATGTTGGAATTCCATAATCTTCGGATGCAACACGTAAACCATTTTTAATTGCTGTTACACGAGTTTCAGGAACATTTAAAAGTGTTTGTTCAAATGTTACTGTTGGATTTGTTTGTAATGCTGTTGTTGCATTACGAAACTAAAAGAAAACTATCAATTAGAAATTAGAAGTAAAACTAAAATTTTACTGATGATCGAGCAGTATAACGACCAGCTCCATGAAGAAGACTACGAAGAAGCATGTTATTAATAAATTTTATCTACAAAATGAGATATATTTGGCAACTGTAGAGCAAGAAAAAAAATTACATATTTTTTTTTTCAACCATGTTGAAAACGAAATATGTGACGACATCTATTAGAAAACTTAATAAATATTATTGAAAATGTATTGTGTTATAAAAATAATTGTATAAATTTAAATATCATTGTCGATCTAAAGTATTATTTTTAAAGTGATTTAGCGACACTAGCAACAACGTTAGTTACATTTAATTGGTTTAATTACAATACCCATCTGAATCTGATTATGGAACCTCGCTCGAATGATTTATGCAAGAGGACATCTATTTTTACATTTTGTATATATGATTGAAAAGCAACGTCATCTGTAAGAAACAGATATAAAAATTGACAATTCTGATCGTTTTTTTTTAAATATCTGGATAAGAAATTATTTTGAAATACCATTTTCACGCAAAACTTCTACGTTCAACATGTTTTTAGGATATATGTTATACAACTGAAGTTAAAAGTATACTATTTGTTAATTATATTTTTCAATGAAATATTTGTGAAACATCAATTTTACGATTAAATCAAACAGTTTTTATTTAAATTTATATGAACTTAAACGTCGAAAACATACATTAAGAAGTGATATCAGCCATCAATGGTCAACAGTAGCCAACATAATTAACCAAAACTTTATAATGATCGAAAAGCAAATAAAATGAAACCACAAAATTTGTAAATCCCTCTAATAGAACCTGATATATCAGCATTCCAATTATATATTATTCGAGAAGTAAGACTAGATAGAATAGTTATTCTACCAACCATCAAAGCAGCAAGAAAGATTATTTTATTCGTGTGTTTAGGCAAGATCACCTCTGTTAGATTACCTGTTTAATTCTTAAGTAGATATAGAAAAAAATGCTCTATTTTACAAAGAAAAACTTATCAGTATGTTCACTAATGAGACTGTATAAATAGAAATAAAGTTATTTATTAATGTTATAACTTAATGGACTATCGAGATTTATATAAGAAAAATGGAACTCTTATACTAAATTTCTCAATATTTGATTTTGACGTAAAAAAGAAACATTTCTTTATATGAAACACGTTTTGAGAAATATGAGTAAATCCTCATATGTCTGGATGATTTGGCTTTCAAGTTGTCAACTATATATTAATGGTTTTTTCTTCGAATTCACCAAACACGAATTCTTGTTATGATTTCATTGTTAACATATGCTAATCTCTTGTAAATTTCTTGATGTAAAAATCAAGATTTTGACCTTGAGCGGCGTTACATTATGGTCAATATAAATGACACGTGAATCTATCTCACAGAAATATTTTGATTAACTTTTTCATGGAGTATACAAATACTGATGAACACAATGTAGGGATATAAAACCATCTATAATTATCCTTGTTTAACATGATTTAGGTCTCTATTTTTATAATGTATATCATAGTTTATGACGAATATTTATGAAATATTCTTGCTTGAGTTTATTTTCATTGATATTTCATCTTCTATTGATCGTTCTATATAATTAAAATGCGATAATTAACAGAGCTCAAGCAGGCCATATAATCTGTTTGCCTGCCCTGTAGCAGACTAGACAGTCAGCTAAAAAATGGTAGATCATCTAGTCTGTCTAAATTTGTTTTTTTAATGTAACACTTTAATCTAGTTAATTGGATTATTCATAGAAAATAGATTGCAATTATAGTTAATCTTCAATAATAACTGTTTAATATGACAAATTATACGAATATTTAAGTATAACTATTGGAAAAAAAGATAAGAAATTCCACTACCATTCCGAAATATACTGTTATACTAGTTGATCACACAAATGTTAATATATTTTGATTTTTCGCACTACAGATGATTTTGAAAACATATTGGAAAAAAAATACTTGCTATTGAAAAGTGACCTAGGAGTATTGTATATATGGGACATAATATTTCAGGTATGTTTGACTAATATTTTCTTGGTTTCGATTAGACAGAAAACGGTTAGAATAAAAAGAAACATCAGATTATGAGTTAGTATTCAAACATCGACTAGATTTATGTGAATATTAAAACGTTTTGAGATTGACAAAATGGATCATTTGTTGAAATACTTTCATCAGTGAGAAATACTTCTACTATAGCACAATTAAACTCGGACAGATAATAACATAAATGACAAATACCAAAACACCTCTTTGAAAACAATAATATGATTTGTTTTTAAATAATATTTAGCTTTTTTTCTCATCAAATTCATAAAAAGATTCAAGGTTATGCCTTGAGAAGGGTGTGGATGTAAGCGAGTAAGAGTTACATGAAAAGACACCCACACCCACATTCCAATTCATGCTTGCATTTCTTATTGAAGTTATTCGAATCCGTATGCTGAGAGATTACTTTCTAAAATCATGACCAAAAATTTTATTTTATATAGTTTATATACAAACAGTCTCGAGAAAAAATTTTTATTTTCATTAACAAGATGAATATGTCAGAAAATCGAGAATAGCAGTTCAAAGAAACTAAATATTCTTCAGAGAATGTAATCTTAAATCAACATGTTATCATCTTTTAAAATACAAAGATGATCCTGCATTTATTATCAATGGAGGTTTTGAAAGCCTGGGAATATCACTTTTTGATATTGTTTGGACAAAATTTAGAAGTTTTGACTTCTATATTCAATATTTAATCAAATTAACTATTTTCATCTCAAGATATATATGATATTGAAAATTGTGACAACTAAAAAACCTGAAAAATCTTGATTCTGTTACAATTCGAAAAGTTTTTATTTCCTTTCAAGAAATAGATTTTTACAGCAGAACTGTTTCTTAAACAAGTTTCGTCTTATATTAAGAGCTTTAGATAACACCGATACTGATAAGCAGTAAAATCTATCTATTTGATCAATAAATCACAAAATGTTCCGCCTAGATATTAAAAAAATGATAAATAATAAAATATAAAAATTTAATACGTCAGTGCAATTGATACAAAAATATAATATCAGGATTAATCGGATATTGTTATGCTTTAATTGGAAAATATTTAGGCTTTATCAATAGATTATTGAACAGATATAACATAAATAGAAATATGAATAAGATTATGAAAAACAGCTCTCACAATATTTAGCTACCTATCTATCTATATAACTACCATAGAATTTTATTATTTTCATATCACTAAGTAATATTGAAAGAAAAGCCTCGTATAAGTAGCGAACATATTTGTTCAACAACGATAAGAAATTTTGTTTCATATAATAGTACTTTCTCTACACGCCGTTGCCAACATCACTATTGTCGTCATTTTCTTCATGATATTTTATGTATCCATATGTAAGAGATCGAATACGTCGTTGATACTCTAATAGATCGATTTATTTATTAATTAATAGTTCTTATGCTTCAATTAAACGATTGTCATGATCACGATAACGTTTACGTTGGTGCTTTGCAGGACGTTTTTGTTTTATTTCTTGAGATACTGAAATCAACGTTTGTTCATCTAACTCCTTTTTTAATAGAATATATTTCCAAATGTTTGGATGTGGTGCATTTCGTCTGTTACAGAGAAATATTTCAGTATGAATAATAAAATTTGAAATATACATATAGTAAAAGTATCAATTTAAAAAAAGGAAATAAGTTCAATTAATGCAACAACTCTCAGTAAAACTTACGCATTTATTGAGCGATGGTAGCCTTCAAGGACATTATTTGTTCTATGTGTAAATTCAATGGAGGAAAAATGATTCCATCGTACTGGTGGAAATTTGCTTTCATACAAATATGCACACGTATATATATATGTCAGTCGATCGCTTTTCTTTCTTTTGAGAAATTCAATTTGTCAGTTTCTTTGTTTTTATTTTATTACGCATTTAAAAAAATAAGGACATCTTGACCGTTTTCTCGGTTTTTATGTACCACTGATACTGCGTCGTTTGGGCCACAGAATCATCTGATAATACTTCAAAGTTTTTCTACATTCATTTATATCATGTACATAATTTAAGACTATTACATCGCTAGATAATATATTATATACTTACTATAAATGCTCTTAAGAGGGTCACAGTTTTTTTGATCACCACAAAAAGATAGTTTTGATCACCAAACAATTAAAAATACAAATTGTGACCCTTAAAAGATTGTTTTGATCACTATACACTTTTAGATTCCAATGATCACCCAAAAAAGTTACTTTTGATCACCAGATTTTTCAACATTCATCCAATATATTATTTCTCCCAAAAAATATAACATAAAAAAATTGCCTTAAGTTCATAATTCTATAAAGAATATTTGCAATATTGACAACATTTAAATGAATATTTTGTGGAATTCTTAAGATTATTTATTCAATATTGACATACACCATTTGATTTAGCAACAACTTTAACCTCATCAAGTGAATGAACTATACTTAATACAGACCAGTTTAACGCTGACATTTTTCAAATGAATATTTCCAAGTATTTTGTATAAATGTATGCACCGGCCACTGACCCTGTGATACGAATTACTGTTTATATGTAATATACAGAGAAAAGTTGATGAAATGCAAGTGATACTGGATAAACAAGCTAGAAATGATGCAACATCACAACGATTTGAAAACTTGGTGATCAAAAGCTTTTTTTTTCGGTGATCATTTGTATCTAAAAGTGTGTGGTGATCAAAACAATCCTTTACGGGTCATGATTTGTATTTTTAATTGTTTGGTGATCAAAACTATCTTCTTATGGTGATCAAAAGTCCTTTTTCCCCTCTTAAGACATCAATGAGTGGAAAATAATGAAATAACACAAAAGATGATATAATACATGCTGCTTTATTATATCTAATTGTTTGTGGTGAGACCACAGAACTGATGAACAAAAAACTAACATGATTTTTGTTTCTGAAAAAATACATATTTGATCCGACCCGAGCAGACCCGAGATTAAAAAATTTTTCCTGATCTGACTCGACCCGA